CCGCTCGACTAGCATAAAAGTTTGTAAACATGAAAAGGTATCGACTAGTATAAATTTGATTCCTTTATTTCTCAGAATCAGCATTGCATTATTGGCTGTGATTCAGTTTGAAAAAAAAACAACTAGTTGTCCGGTCAATCATTTCCTTGAAAAAAAAAGATTTTTTTTTGCTTATTGTTTTTTGCTATAAAACAATTTGTCGGAAAAGTTTTTGCTAGTTGCGCAGCAACGCGACCAGCATTTCTAGATGACGATGACGAGAATCAAGTTTTAGCAATTGATTTATGAGCAAATGTATTTATGACCAGTGCAGGTCTAACATTTTCTCAAGGGGGCGGTTTTTCAAAAATTAAACGAACGTTTTGTCGACGCTGTGTTTGATTTCGACCAAATTGATTTCCCGAGGTCTTCTTCCATAACGCTATGAAAAGTTTTTGAAAAAATAGACCAAAGCAATGTTGTTAGTTTTTTTTGGAATAATTTGACCAAAAAAAAATAGTTTTTTTTGGCGCGTGTTCCGCCTCAATATTTGTTAGAATGGCGCCAAAGGCGCCTTCAGAAAATCTTAAAATGAATGTTAAAAACTTGCATCGAAGGTGGGACATTTTGTGCGGCCAGGGAACAAAATCGTTGAGGAGGAAAGGAAGATGTTCCAGGTATCTCTGGTCGAGACACTGGTTTCAATAATTTGCCTTGAAAACATAAAATTATGCAAAATAAATTTAAATTTTCTTGAGGGAGGCTGATTTTCAAAACAAAAACATTTGTTTTGTATTGATTCGATTATCTTAACAGCAGTCAATAAAATTGAAGTTCATAGAAGCAGCTTCATGAAAAGAGCATTTTTTTTTACTTTTGTAGGTTTTGTTATAAAGATGTAAGAAACAGGAAAAGGCATCATGTATAAATAGAGAGAACATTTAACCCTGAAGCAACTCCAGGATTCCAGAATATTCGAGATTCCCACAACTTTGAAAGGAGTAGGCTCAATCTTTTTTTTTGTGAATTGAAGGGATAAGTTTGCGCAACTAAACTGAAACACTTTTAAGTAGCCTTTGCTAATCCGTCGCTGTCTTTGGCTCGGAATTTAAGACAGGGATTTTGACTTAATGGCCACCAATTCCGCCTTCTTGTGCAAGATGAACAATTACCTATTGTATAATTACATAAAAAAATCAATTAGGTTATAAATATTAACCACCGAAAAAAGCTTCAGAAAAAATTTATCGCTGCTTTCTAAAGCGAGTCTGTCTGGAACATGTGGCGAGTCTCTCTGGAATCCAGAATAAACAGGCTACTTGCGCTCTGGTGATGGGGATGGGATATCTTTTCATTTTCATCTTCAGACTTTAATAGTCCATCAAACAGATATAGAACTGGAAGAAAGTATCCTCTTTTCCTATTGGCTGCTTTACAACCCTAAGGATGTAATAACCTATCAGGGCAAATCGAAATCATAAACTCATATAGTCACATTTTAAACAACAACTTCTCTGAAATAACATTTTTTTCATTCATTTTATTAAAAAATCAGTTTATTCAAGTGCAATTTATATTCATATTTTTTTTACCGAGAGATCTAAAAATCAAAATTAAGTGATAAACTGAAAAATGAATAAATTATTAGAAGAAAATGCTTCGAATATCAGCAACTCATCTGAACAATCGCCATCGCCGCTGGTAAAGCCGGAGGAGTTGAAACCTTCAACTGAGGCCAAAACGTCGCCTGAAATCCCGCTCGCCCAAAGCAACGCAAACTGTTCAAACGTTTCGCTTGTCAACCTCTTTGGAGAGCAAATCGTATCGATGGAAATTGACGCAACAAAACGTCTTTGCCTCGCTCAAATTTCACACACACTGCTGAAAGATTTCAGCTACAACGAAATCCACAACAGAAGGGTAGCTCTCGGCATTACCTGCATTCAATGTACCCCAGTACAACTCGAAGTGCTTCGACGTTCGGGGGCGATGCCGATTTCGTCTCGACGTTGCGGCATGATCACATTCCGAGAAGCCGAGCGGCTTTGCAAGTCGTTTCTCTGCGAAAGTTACCCGCCGCCCATTCCCGAGAACTTTCAGTTCAGAGTGTTCCACGCTTGTTCGTGGGGTTGCGATGGAACTTTCCACCCGAGCCGATATAACTCGTCACGAGCCAAGTGCATTCGCTGCGACAACTGCAGTGTATTTTTCAGCCCAAATAAATTCATATTTCACAGTCACCGTGAGTCGAGTACAAAATACAACCCCCCTGATGCCGCCAACTTCAACTCGTGGCGACGACACATTTTCCTCTCGGCTGATCATAGTTCGGACGAACAAATCAGCCACGCGTGGGAGGACGTGAAAGCTATGTTTAATGGTGGAACCAGAAAAAGGTCATCAACTAGTCATATTTCGGAGACAGGGAATCCGCAAATTCCTGCAAACAGTTCTCAAGTCAAGGCGTCCAAGCTCCAAATGTTTTCGTCCAATGAGAATCCGAAAAAGGCGGGATTTTCACCACTGGCTAATATGACGATCTCTGGAAAACTGAAGCCAACAGCAGGAATTGCGACAACAACTCAGACCTTTGCGCCCGTCAACTTAAGCGCAGCTTCAAAGTATTCAAGTTTCCCGAGTTCATTTGAAAACATGCTGAAAACTTCCACTTTTGCGCCCCCAGTGGATGAAAGGTTGAGTGAGTTTGTGGTGCCGCAAGGGGGAGCCATGTACAACCCAATGGCCACAGCGGCTGCTCTTTTGGGACCAGCGGCACTCATGGTTCCCTGGCTGGCCCACCAGCCCACTGGCACAACTCCAGGCTTCCCAATGATTCCCGCAATGGTGTCCAACTCCACATGCGATTTGAGACAACTGGGCGTCACTTTTGGACAGGGGACGAGAAGCACGCGAGACATGGAGCAAGCTAAAGTTAAATCGGCCATAGGGAAAAGCGTGGAGGCCACTAGTCACAAAGCGGACAATTTCTTTGCAACAAACCCAAAAAATAAGGTGACTTAAGTGGGATATGAGCACAAGCATATTCAATGCAATTAACCTGAATACTTTTTCAAAAATTATTATTTTTTTAAATATGTTATTTTTTTAACAGATAGACGGAAGCGACAGCAAATTGTTGAACAGCCCAATCCCAATGACAAAAAGTTTTCCAGCAACGAACGCATTTTTTGGTAAGTTGATCTACAAAAAACCGCAAAAAAATAGATCGTTTTGCTTTTTAATTATTTTCCGAGCCAACTAATGTTGGGTGTTGAATTTAAATGAATACTTAATGAGAACTTAGAGTTGAATATGAGCAGCAAAAACCTTAGAAGAGATGCTGCTCACTTTATGATTCGACTTTCAAGCAGAGCAGAGTGTATAAGCACATGTTTCAACATCTGAAGTCCGGACAGATGTTTAGGTCGAGAAAACATTCAAAAACAAGTCGAACAAAGTATAACAAAGCCCACATTCGAGCCGCAGTTGCAAGCTTGATTTGGTCAAAGTGTGCTGCAGTTTTCGATCGACGGACAGCATCCAAACACACAACAGACACATTTCAAACTTTCGCATTTGCATAAGCATATTACTGCAACCAAGTTAAGTCGATGCTCTACTTTTTCAAGACTCTTTTGTGCCTAGGAAACTCACACTCCTTTTCTCCCAGCATGCTTGCTTCCTTCTACCAAAACTACCTGATGGGAGCAGGATCTACTGCGGATGCTGCCAAATCAGAGACAGATCGAGTGGCAGCTACAAACGACAGCAGTTCACAAGACTGCAATTAAGAATCATCAATCAAATATGACCATGAATTTGTAGAAAAAAATGCTTAATACAAACTAACAAATCTTTTGAACTTTTTTATACAGAAAGCTGAATTTGTTTAAGAGTGTAGTAAAATTTGCTGTGTAATTTATCATCGCCTCAAATCAGATTGGCGCGCAACGTCCAACCTTTACAACAGCCCGGCAATCACGCGCGGATCTAGGATTTTATCGGTTGTAGGTTAAAGGGGGTTGGGGGGAGGTTTCTTTCGAAACTTTTGACGACCGTTTTTTACTGCTTTACAAAATCCTACTAAGACTCAGTCTTTTCAGCTGCAAACTTTTAAAAAACCAGGCCCAAATCTGTTTTAGGACAGTTTGTGAAAAATGTCGACTATTTATTGTGTTAATTCGACGTGCGCTCTCCCGAAAAATTACTATATAAAAGCGCCTAATCCTTAAAAAACTTTTGGGTCGATCAAGCGGAAGTTGATGTCGTAAAATAATACCAAAAGGGGGCAATATGAGAATAGTGTTAAGGAGCCTTAAATATGAAATTTGTTAGCAGTCAAGATAGTGCAGATAAAGACATGTGTCGGATGAACATTTCGTGACGAACAGTTGTCGTCCAGACTCGCTGTCGCTTAGAATTCAACATTTTTTCTGTGCGTAAAGAAAAATCTAATTAAAGAAGGTTGTTAAAACAATGAACTTTTCTGATCAATTTATTTAATTTGAAGTCATTGATTTGCTTATAAGTATATATTTTTCGAAACAGTTTTGAGTTCTAGTGATGGTCAACAAGTGGAGTGTAGTTATGTTGTCATCTGGACAAAATAGAGAACGGGAACACTCGAAAAGTAGCTGAAAGCCTGAAGGATGCATTTTAAAGTGAACTAGCCTTTAACGCACCTTCGGTGCTTCGAAATTATTCGACAACTCATGAAAATCCGCATATATTGGAAACAACATCTGCAAACTTTTAGTGTACTGACTGCAACCAATTACAGGGTTGGTAATTTCGAACTTTTTATTTTTTTAAATCCCATTTTAAAAGCGTCATCTCGAAAACTTGATGGGCCTCTGAAGAAATTTGGAGGCCAGATTTGCAACCACTGAGAGTCCCTGAGAGCACCCTACTATAGGGTTAGGAATTCAAAGTTTTGGGGAAATTTTTTAAACCTAAGTTTCCCGAAAAAAAAATTGAAAAAAACGTCTTATCTCGGAAATTAAAAGGATTTGAGCATTCATATTAAGAGGCAAGATTTGAGACAACTGGGTGTACGCTGACAATAAGGTTGTATCTTCATCCTAAAAAAAATCAAAAAACGTTTCATCTCGAAAACTACAAGTTATTGAGCAGTCATATTAAGAGGCAAGATTCGCAATCCTTGAGAGTACTCTGACAGGACCTAACCACATGGTTGGGAATTTTAGATTTAAAAAAAATATATTAATTCAAGTTTTCTGAAAATTTTTAAAAAAATCACAAAAAACGTCATATCTCGAAAACTACAAGGTTTTCAACAGTCCTATTTGGAGGTAAGATTTGTAACTCCTTGTTAGTACTCTGACAGTACCCAACTACAAGGTTAAAAAATTCAGATTTTTTAAAAAATAATAATTTAAGTTTTCTGAAAATTTTAGAAAAAATCACAAAAAACGTCATATCTCGGAAACTACAAGGATTTGAGCAGTCATATTTGGAGGCAAGACTCGCAATCCTTGATAGTACTCTGACGGGATCCAACTACAGGGTAGGGAACTTCAAATTTTGCAAAAAAAAAATTAAAATAAATTTTCTGACAATTTTTTCAAAAAACCACAAAAACCTTCATATCTCGAAAACTACAAGAATTTGAACAGTCATATTTGGAGGCAAGATTTGTAACTTCTTGATAGTACTCTGACAGTACCCGACTACATGGTTGAAAAATTCAGATTTAAAAAAAAATAATTTAAATTTTCTGAAAATTTTTGAAAAAATCATAAAAAACGTCATATATCGAAAACTACAAGGATTTGAGCAGTCATATTTGGAGGCAAGACTCGCAATCCTTGATAGTACTCTGACAGTACCCACCTACAGGGATGGGAACTTCAAGTTCTGTAAATTGTTTTGTTAATTGAAATTTCTGAAAATTTTTGAAAAAATCTCAAAAATCGTCTATCTCTTTCACTAAAATGATTCGGGTATTCAAAATTGGAGGCCAAATTCGCAACCCCTAATTCAATATTGGGCTGCTTAATTAAAACTCGGTAAAATAACCATTAAAATCAAATTAGAAAATCGAAAAAAAAATTCTTAACCATTGCAATATACGATATAGCTTAAACATGCTAAAATAATACGTTGAAAAAGCTTAAACATGGCGAGATAGTGAAGCCCGCATTTAAATATATAATATATTTTAAAAATTCAGACTGAGGTAAACTATTTGCGCTCAGTTTGTTTGAAACAAATGACTGTTTGAGAGAGCGAGAAAACTAATGTTCCAATACTAAATTCGCCTTTTGACGCACAGAAGAAAAGTTTAAAATTCAAAAAGATATATTTCGCTCCTAGTAACAAACCATTTATGGCAAACAAGAATGCTTGTATCAGGGTGAAGCCCTGAATGTTCCGACTGCCTTTTAGGGTTTATGGAGCAGTTATAACATAAAAAAATTAAATGAAACAAAATAGAATGAAATTTTTTTATTTTGAAATTTTTTATGAAAATCATCCCCCCCACACGCCCTATTAAGTATAAAAGGATAGATTTCGCTCCTTGTAACAAATCAATTATGGCAAATAAGCTTCATTCAACCAATTTGGAACAATTTCTAAGACGGATTAAATCTCCGCTTACGCGTTATTAGCGCGAAATATATCGCGCGTTAATTGTCCCAAAAAATATATTAATTCAAGTTTTCTGAAAATTTTTGAAAAAAACACAAAAAAACGTCATATCTCGAAAACTACAAGGATTTCAACAGTCCTATTTGGAGGCAAGATTTGTAACTCCTTGATAGTACTCTGACAGTACCCAACTACAAGGTTGAAAAATTCAGATTTTTTAAAAAAAAATAACAATTTAAGTTTTCTGAAAATTTTTGAAAAAATCACAAAAAACGTCATATCTGGGAAACTACAAAGAATTGAGCAGTCATATTTGGAGGCAAAATTCGCAATCTTTGAGAACACTCTGACGGGATCCAACTACAGGGTTGGGAACTTCAAATTTTGCAAAAAAAAATTAAAATAAATTTTCTGAAAATTTTTTCAAAAAATCACAAAAACCGTCATATCTCGAAAACTACAAGAATTTGAACAGTCATACTTGGAGGCAAGATTTGTAACTTCTTGATAGTACTCTGACGGTACCCAACTACATGGTTGAAAAATTCAGATTTAAAAAAAAATAATTTAAATTTTCTGAAAATTTTTGAAAAAATCACAAAAAACGTCATATCTCGAAAACTACAAGAATTTGAGCAGTCATATTTGGAGGCAAGACTCGCAATCCTTGATAGTACTCTGACAGTACCCATCTACAGGGATGGGAACTTCAAGTTTTGTAAATTGTTTTGTTAATTGAATTTTCTGAAAATTTTTGAAAAAATCTCAAAAATCGTCTATCTCTTCAACTAAAATGATTCGGGTATTCAAAATTGGAGGCCAAATTCGCAACCCGTAATTCGATATTGGGCTGCTTAATTAAAACTCGGTAAAATAACCATTAAAATCAAATTAGAAAATCGAAAAAAAACTCTTAACCATTGCAATATACGATATAGCTTAAACATGCTAAAATGATACGTTGAAAAAGCTTTAATATGGCGAGATAGTGAAGCCCGCATTTAAATATATAATAGATTTAAAAAATTCAGACTGAGGTAAACAATTTGCGCTCAGTTTGTTTGAAACAAATGACTGTTTGAGAGAGCGAGAAAACTAATGTTCCAATACTAAATTCGCCTTTTGACGCACAGGAAGAAAAGTTTAAAATTCAAAAAGATATATTTCGCTCCTAGTAACAAACCATTTATGGCAAACAAGAATGCTCGTATCAGGGTGAAGCCCTGATTGTTCCGACAGCCTTTTAAGGTTTATGGAGCAGTTATAACATAAAAAAATTAAATGAAACAAAATAGAATGAAATTTTTTTAATTTGAAATTTTTTATGAAAATCATCCCCCCCACACGCCCTATTAAGTATAAAAGGATAGATTTCGCTCCTTGTAACAAATCAATTATGGCAAATAAGCTTCGTTCAACCAATTTGGAACAATTTCTAAGACGGAATAAATCTCCGCTCACGCGTTATTAGCGCGAAATATATCGCGCGTTAATTGTCCCAAAAAATATATTAATTCAAGTTTTCTGAAAATTTTTGAAAAAAACACAAAAAAACGTCATATCTCGAAAACTACAAGGATTTCAACAGTCCTATTTGGAGGCAAGATTTGTAACTCCTTGATAGTACTCTGACAGTACCCAACTACAAGGTTGAAAAATTCAGATTTTTTAAAAAAAAATAACAATTTAAGTTTTCTGAAAATTTTTGAAAAAATCACAAAAAACGTCATATCTGGGAAACTACAAAGAATTGAGCAGTCATATTTGGAGGCAAAATTCGCAATCTTTGAGAACACTCTGACGGGATCCAACTACAGGGTTGGGAACTTCAAATTTTGCAAAAAAAAATTAAAATAAATTTTCTGAAAATTTTTTCAAAAAATCACAAAAACCGTCATATCTCGAAAACTACAAGAATTTGAACAGTCATACTTGGAGGCAAGATTTGTAACTTCTTGATAGTACTCTGACGGTACCCAACTACATGGTTGAAAAATTCAGATTTAAAAAAAAATAATTTAAATTTTCTGAAAATTTTTGAAAAAATCACAAAAAACGTCATATCTCGAAAACTACAAGAATTTGAGCAGTCATATTTGGAGGCAAGACTCGCAATCCTTGATAGTACTCTGACAGTACCCATCTACAGGGATGGGAACTTCAAGTTTTGTAAATTGTTTTGTTAATTGAATTTTCTGAAAATTTTTGAAAAAATCTCAAAAATCGTCTATCTCTTCAACTAAAATGATTCGGGTATTCAAAATTGGAGGCCAAATTCGCAACCCGTAATTCGATATTGGGCTGCTTAATTA